TTTCAACGACTTATATATAATTTGAAGAACACACGTGGATTTACAATGATATATATATATATATATATATATTTGGTATTTTCGAATTAAAGATACCATTTATACATAAAAATCTATATTTAACTATAGACGTTTGGTATTCTTATGGGTCTTCAGCCCGTTGCCACCTGGCCTTTTGCAACCCAGCCCGTTGCCACCTGGCCTTTTGAAACCCAGCCCGTTGCCACCCAGCCTTTTGCAACCCAGCCCGTTGCCACCCACCCTTTTTCCACCCTAGGCCCATTGCCACCCAGCCTTTTTCCACCCTAGGCCCATTGTCACCCGGTATTTTGCCACACTGCCTTTGTATTATTATAATCATTATTTTATTCACCAGCAAAAAGACCTTTTTATACAAACAATGCGTTATGACTTATGAACAATGAATACCATACCCTGGCAAAATATCACCTTGACAAAATTCACGATATTACAGATAATTAGATATGAGAAGGGAAATATACTTTAGGTAACGCCATTGTAAGGAAATGATACACTGTATAGTCATTGGATTAGTGGTTGTGATTAGTGCTTGCGAAGCAACATCAGCCATGGCTTGTTAAACCAAAAAACAACTGTTTTATTCTTTAGGCCTAGAGGGGCAGATCCAGAATTTGTTTAATGAGGGGGAATCAATTTCATATAGGTCTACATTTAATATAATTATACAGATAATTGTGTTTTTTTTCTGTTAAAAAATATAAGATGGTAGGTGAAAAATGTTCCCCCATTGCCCTGCCCTAAATCCGCCCCTGATATAATAGGTTCGGTCTCAGAAGAACTTGCTCAGTTTTTGACATTTATAATATAGATGTTGGCTTTACCAATTACTATTGTCAACTTGGTCACCAAATCCAGGTGTGTCTACGATGGTTAGTCTCAGCTGGACTCCATTTTCTTTCAGGATTACATTGGACGTTTCAACCTACAAAATAAAAGATAATTAGCATTTTTAGCTAATGAATTACTGTACATATTTATCAATTTGTCAATCAATCAATCAATCATTTATACATTACAATACAAAAATAATGATAAATTTGCAGATAACAACCGAAATTTACTACAATTAGGTTTTGGTTACACTTACAGTATTAAAATACAAAATATACTTATTTTATAATTAATATAAATCTACCCATATGCAGAAAAAGAATATTTTCCAAACAGATCTTCATATTTTGTCCATGTCCCATTAGAGATAAAAATCAAATTCTCGCAATTAAAGTCTTTGGTGCATGAGAATTCAAATTATTTATGCGTAAGTCTAAAAATAATTAAATAATCAACGCTCGCGTGTCTTGATAGTATTAGAATACTAATCAATATCTCGGCACTTAAGGAAAGAAGATGAGCCAGAAAAGTGCAATGTACTCTTAAAGGTAAATTTCTTTTAGTTGTTTATCAACTTCTAGAGAACTGTTCTGACGGCAATGAATTTTACACTTCGGAAAGCCAATCTATCCCATTCCCCTCTAAAGACCAAAGAATTATGATGGCAGCATAGCACTGGGTGGGGCTTAAAGAGGACCACAAAAATCACTATGCCTACTGCAGACAAACCTACAATTATTGATTTTATTATAATTAATGTAGCTCCACTCAAATTAAATTAATTTAACAGACATGTATACCGAGAAAAAGATTTACCAAGTTCAATGAACCATATTCCATATGCCTTGCTATATCATTAATGTTGGAAAGGTCAATGACATGGAAACAAAGTATCTTCTTTGCATAATTGACCAACTGTAACGACTATGTACTACCTTGACAATCACACTTAAAAATGAATTTCTTAATGGACAACATACAATGCATTGATTGATTGTACTAAAAAAAGTACACTACATTTTTATCACCTTTGATCAGTATTCTAAATTGGGAATCGGCACAATATATATATAGATTCATGCTTTACAATTCGCCTGATGAGTGAGGCCCTGTGTGGTCATATGAAACAGATTTGTAGCGATTAAAGATATGAAG